AACGACAGTTAGAGGGTAATGTTCCTTTACATACATTTAGGTTTTAAATAGCAGATGTTTCAACTTGAGCTTGATTGTTTTTGCACTGGTTCCTAGAATTGAAATCTGAACCATCTGTTCATGTATATTGAGGAAACTTATCACGATAATTGCTAAAATTTCAAACAAAACTTAATCTTGACACAAAAATATGCATTGGGCGGTCGAAAAATAAAAATAAAAATAATTTGGAACCTTGACATATTTTTTTCTCCAGTAGAATTGAAATATATTCAGATGCCTTGTTACTGTTGATGGTTTTCATTCTTCTGACTTTCAAGTCCGAGTTTCCATAATAGACACATTGCACGGGTAAAATTAAGTGAATCTGCTATTCTCTGGTCAACCTTTCAACATATGAAAAAGTTTTTGGAAACTCTGAAAGTCATGGACTGCTTTCACAACAAACTTTCACCTTAAGGTACGTGTGTCCAGGGACCAATTAACCCAGACCCAAAATTTAAGGAGACATTTCTCCATCAAAGAAATTTAGGGAGAAGTTTTGAAATTTAGGGAGACTTCTTGGAGCATATGTGGCACACATTAATCGTTATAAAACTATTTCATTGTTTATAAATTACAAACATTTCAATAATTTTCCTGTATAAACATTGTATTTAAAATGATTTAATAAGAGAAAAAGAATCTTAAAAGAAATTTCCCCCAATTACAAGGTATATAAATATCTAGAAAGAATTAATAAAACAACATTGACATTAAATAAAATTTACTACTATGTGTACTACAATTAAAATGTAAAATTTTCTTATCAGATTAATTGTTTATCAAACATTTTAAATTTTTTCATTTCTTACATAGTAGCACAACCTTAAACTTTTCAAATTTCTCTTCTCATTAGATTTCCAGACTTTTGGTATAGTCATAATTTTGTTAATTTCTCTTCAAACTTTGTTTTAAATATAAAATTCATATTCTAATAAAAGTTTTGACGCACTTCTGCATACCGATTGAACTACACTTATGTTTCTCGGATCCGATGTGTGACTTCTTAAGAAGTTAATAACTTCACAATTTAACAGTAAAAATATGTCTGTATTCACAGCATGAATAAATTATTTGACTATAAATAGATCTAAAATCATCTCCATTATCTTTGGCATGACATCGATAGCTGTCCAGCTGTTTTGCGTCTTGTGTATAACTTGTAACGATGGTCTTTTTCATACCCAGAAGTGTAAAATCTAGAGGAGTTCCGACGGAGTATTCGATGCATTGGTCATTAATAGTTACAGAAACAGTCAGGTTGGTCCTTGCGCTGTCCCGCCATGTGGTTTGACAATCTGTGTTGTAAATTATAAAAACTGTCGTTTGGTCGAGAAAATTTCGGATTAAGAGTCCAGTTTCTAGAGTCAGACACATTTTTATTTTTGAAAATAGGGAAAAATAGGGTCGGCGGAATCGTAAACCAAGAGAAAAAAAACTTTGGCCTTGTCTTTGTTTGTAAGGCTCATTATATAAATTGTATTTTAGAAGAACTTGGTTTTAATTCTACTAGTGGGAATCCTACTTATACCCATAGTTCCTTTCTAAGGATGGAATTCTTCAAAATAATATCTCAGTTTTTAATATTTTTAATATCCCAAAGAACCAAAATGAATTTGAACTACAATACATATATTGGATTCCGAAACTTCGTAAGAATCCTTACAAACAAAGATACATAGCGGGTTCCAGTAAATGTTCAACCAAGCCGCTTTCTTTACTACTCACTAAGATATTAACAGTAGTAAAGGAAAAACTTCAAGAGTACTGTGCAACAATATATTCAAGAAGTGGTGTAAATTAGATGTAGATACTTAAAATCTCCAAGGATCTTTTGCACAATTTGAAATCACAAGATTTAAACAAACTTAAGTTAACAGCTTAAAAACCTACGACTTTTCAACTTTATACACAACCATTGCCCAACATAAATTAAAGTCCAGGCTTTTCGATATCATTGACAGCTGCTTTTTCAATAAAAATGGAACTCGAAAATTTACTTACCTTGTCATTGGTCATTTGCAAAATTATTTTGTTAAAAAGCAATCTGATTGTACACACAAGTACTCTGAAGTCGACATCAAAAAGAGTTTCTGATTGACAATATCTTTGTTGTTTTTGGAGACCAGGTCTTTCAACAATCTATTGGAATTCTCATGGGTACAAATTGCGTCCCGTTATTGGCAGACCTATTTTTGAATTCATATGAAGCAGAATTTGTGCACAACCTTATGCGTGAAAAGAAGAAAAGAGTTGCTGTGGCCTTCAACTCGACATTTAGATATATCGACAACGTACTGTCAATTAGCAATGGTTATTTCCATTCTTATGTCGATACGATATATCCTGGTGGGCTTGAGATAAAAGATGCCACAGAGTCTGACACATCTGTTTCATATTTAGATATTTATTATTTAACTTGAAAATGACGTTAATGGTAATCTAACAACCAAGCTCTGTGATAAACGTGATGACTTTAACTTTTCTATCGTCAACTACCGTTACTTATGCAGCAATATACCATCATCACCTGCATGAGAAGCAAGTTGTCATCACCACAGACCTTTTTCTGCTCCTGGGTATTAGGCAGAGAAAATGCATAGGTTTTATGAGTAGATGTACATCTTTCATATTTCTCTCTTAACAGCTCCATTCAAACATCAAAAGGGGCCATAAATTAAAAATTTTATAAAAGAAGAACCTCTAAACATCAAACCAATGCATTTTATCTGCTTAATACCCAGGAGCAGAAAAGGTTTGTGGTGATAATATAGTAAATGCATATATCCTCCAAAAATCCTTCACTGCCCCTGGATATCTAGCAGGCAAACTACCGGTAGTTGATTTGTTATGATGTGCTAGAATGCCTTTTCATGAAATATATGAGGTAACAAAGAGTATTCAAGCTCAAAAGTCCATTAAACAATACAAATTTTGGAGCAAAGCAAACACAGACCTATAAAACATCAGAAGAAAGATAGAAAAATTAAAGTCATCACGTTTATCATAAAGTTTTGTTGTAAGGTTACCAATAACGTCTTTTAAAGTAAAATATCCAGTAAGAATATCTAAATATGAAACAGTCCTTTCAGACTCTGTGGTATATTTATTTACAGCTCACGGGGATATTTCGCGCCAACATATGAATTGAAGTAATTTTTGTCAATTGATAATACGTCGGCAATATATGATTGATTGATTGTATGTTGTACTTCCCTCGACTCGAGATTTTATCATTCAAATGGAGACGCCACCATTTGCCAGGGGAGAGCTGCAAATTTTGTCCTATACTCGGCACTCAGGGCCATTGGGCATTGAGGGATGTAATACGTGCCAGCACCTACTGCGACACGGGACCTCGGTTTATACGGTCTCATCCGAAGGACCGGTCTCCACGTCCCTCAGTGGGGTTCGAACCCCCGACGAAAGAAACAATTCCTTACTTCGCGACCATTTTGCCACTCGGGCGTCGTCAATATATATATAAATTTCGAGTTGAAGGCCTCAGCATAAGACAACTTGATTCTCATGTATAAGGTTTTGAATAAGTTTTGTTTCAGATGAATACAAAATAGGTCTGTTTTCTAATGGGGAGCAATTGGAAATACCTACAGATTGTTGGGAGACCTGGTGTTCGAAAACTACATAGATATCGTCGATCAGAAATCTTTGTAATATCAACTTCAGAGTACTGGTGTAAAATCTGAAAGTTTCAAACAGAATAATTGTGCAGATGACCAATGACAAGATAATTAAATTGAAAGATCAGCTGTCTTTAATGGTGAAAAAAGTATGGACTTTTCTTTATCGCCGGGAATGGTTGCATTAAGTGAAAGTGAAAAGTCGTACTACGTTTTGAAGTAACTGTTTTTGGTAAAATATTGAGATTTCGAATTTTCTTAAAGTTTCTAAAAATTAAAGTATCCACATCTGATTTACACCATATCGGCTTCAAGAACAGCTTAATAACAAGCAGCTTGCCTAGCGAAAATGCAAAACAAGCTATTGACTTGGAATTTTTTTTTCTGATGAAATTTTTACATCATTTTCATGTGACACTAAAATATATTTGTGTTTGTAGTTTGTAGAGTGGATACAACAAGTACTAGGAATGAAAATTTTCAGGATGAATGATAGTCTTAAAGTAATTGTGAATTATAAACATTCAAGAGATCCAGACCCGCAGCCTCTGAATGTTCAAGTCTTCTTATCAAGATTCTATATATGTCATCAACATGATATATGCACAAACTTCTAACCTCTTTTTGTGTCGTGTCGAAATTATTCTTAAAATCCTACTGCAAATATTTCTTTTTATAATATAGCCAATGGGAAAATAGGGAAAAAATTCAAAGAAACACACAATTGTCATTCATCAAATTCATAATATCTCTCTTTATAATATTGTTTGTACATTTTTTCAAAAAAAATGAAATATTACTTTAAACATTACGTCCTGCGTGACATAGTGTTGCTGTTAAAAAGATAATTTTGGTATAAATATCATGATATTTTAAGATGATATATCATATTTGATTTCTTTTAATCAAAGTAATAATGATTTTTTTATTTAAAAATCTCCTGAATTCGGTTATAATATTAGAAAAGAATAATTGAATTATCGTTCCTGACTAAGATTCAAAAGTTTCTGAATTTACTTTCAAACTGGCAGTTGCAATATTATTTGAACTTTAATCAGAGCAAAATTTCTTTCAATTTTGTAACATTATTTCAAAATTTTCCAAATAAAACTTTATATGCATTTTTGAAATAAATTATCATGTATTCCAACGAAAAAAAAAATACATTGCTCAATAGGAAAGACAACTTGGAAAGTCTTGTCCAGATGATTTGGCACAACTTAAAGTTAATTCTACGATTTTTTTCTAGCCATATATTTTACTTTTCTCATTCGTAAGAGTTAAGTTCGATTCTTCAAAATAAATTTGAAATTTTTTTTAATTGGAAAGGCACTGTCGAACACGTTTACTGAATAGAAGATACCACAAAGGGTAAAAACATGCATTGATGTAAAAAAGCAGACGACACACGACAAGTGTAAGTACGCGGGAATCTGTAGACAGGAAGTCCAGAATTCCCGGAATTCCTAGCACCAGGAGCGGAAGTGAGCAGACTAAGTACGCCACAAACATTATGAAACTGTTCTTTGTCGCGCTGCTTAAACTTATTCTGTCTCTTCTTAGAGACTGGTTTCGTAAAGCTGATGCATTTTTGATGTTTTGAATTCTCTGAAGGTTCCCGTCTGGAGATATATCCGTAAATGTGCAGTGTTTCGACTTTGTCGATTGTGTGCTGGTGTTCGAGAGAGTTGGCTTCAGTGGTCTTTTTTCGAATACGTTTTGTTTTAATTTTGAGGCAAGAATAGGATTTTCAAGAGCAAATATGTCTTCAAATGTAAGAGCGTGTTCGCTACGTTGGTAGTGTACGATGATGTCTTCACAGTTACCAGAGGATATAGTATACGGTTTCACAAAATCGCTGTCACTATTCACCTGCTGTGTTTGTTCAGCTGACTCTGTACCTGGGTCAGAAGACAAACTCAAGTTTCTATTCCATGGCGATACTCGACTTTTCCCAAAAGACCCAGTCAAATTCAAAGATTTGCAAATATTATAATATGATGAGAAAATGATAACAAGTCCAGTGATATATATTCCGAGGTAAATAACCAAAACAACCAACTGTTCTGAGGTAAAGCGTTTGCGACTATCACAACTTCGAAATTCCCTTTGGAAGGGATTTAATGTATCACAAGCTCGATCATCATTTGGCATAAAAGATAAACAAAAAACAATAGAAAGTAACACTGAAGTAATCCAACCACATAAAATTGAACGTGTTACCATTCTTTTCCGCATGCGTAAACATAATGAAGGTCTTTTGATAGTTGTCTTTCGGTAGATGCATATGGATGCAAATGCACACAAATACTGTAAAGAGCAATTTGAAACAATAAATAATTGAAACCCAGTAAAGGACTGAACATTGACGAGATCTTCCCTCCTTGTTCCGACACTCACCAATGATAATATCATACAAAAGCACAAAAGAATATTATTCACCCCAATATTCAACAGGTGATTGTTTGGTGGAGTGCGCAGACTCGGAGCGTTAATGATTGTCATCATCAGCAAAACGTTTGTCAGCAGGCTAAACACTATGTCAATTCCCATGAACACGATGCTAAACACAACCACATGAAGAGATAATGGAGTGAACCTTTCTTCTGTTATATTTGTGTCGTTTAACATTTTTTTCCAAAATTATTTCAGGGGCTTCTCATTTTCACTCTACAAAGAAAAGACAGGAATAAAATATACTGATACTACAAATACAAATGTTTCTCTGGAAAACATAGTGCCAATTTAATTAGAAATTGTACAGTGAGTCGTAAGTTTAAATTATTGTTATTCGATCTCTTTTTGCAATTAGGCATAGATTGCTAATATAATAAGTAAATGCCAAAAGAATTATGTTTCAATCTAAATTAAAGTAGAATATATTTTGTTCTAGGTTTTATGTCATAAAGAATGTTATTAGTATTGTGAACTCAGAAGTAGACAGGAAATGTAGCCCACGGCACGGTAAGGGAAAACTGAAATACCATCTAAAGCGACACATGAAGGCAAATGACATTCATCTTAGTCTTGTATGATATCTGTCATGCATTAAACAATAGGGCAAATAGTTTAAAATTCATGTAGATGTAGTTATCTTTTCAGTATGCAGATAATTTATGCATTCTACACTCTTCATATTCATATTACCATGAACTTAGACTTACTGTCTTACTCAACCATCAATATCCTCCAGCGGATTTAAAGAAAGTGTACCATGGGCGAATTCACCCTTAAGTTAATATAATGAAATTTGTCTTGTAGACAAATATGAACACGTGAAAATAATGGTCTGTTTCTTTATGTATTAATTATTTTCAACACAAATACGAATTTCTCTAACGATGCAATCAACAGCCCCCTTCCTTCTGGGTTATTTACAATGTATGTATGCATGGAAGTTAATGATTCATTTTTATTAAACCAATACTAAAAAGATTTAAGATTACGTGATTGAAAAACTTTTAATTAGATGTGCCCTTTTATGTGGAGTTCTATGATATATACGTAAAAACCCCTAATGAAAGACACAAAATGAATACACAATGGCAGAAAATTATTATCAAGTTTCGTGCAAAAAATCAAGTCGAAGACCTGGAAAGAATATACAAGATGGCGGAGGTGTGTTCCTGATGGTTTTTCTTTCTTTGTTTGTTTGATTGTTTATATACTCAGTAAGTCCCTTCGATAATTTTTCAAATAATATATTGAGAGGCCACCACCTGCCGGTGAAGAGCTACTTTAGACATATAGTCGGCACTTAAGACCTTTAGCAATGTGGCATCTTTTTTGTACCAGTAACTACTACGACAAGCGACCTCGTATTTTACGGTCTCATCCGAAGGACCGGTCTCAACGTCCCACATTGATGTCTGGGTTTCGAACTTGCGATGTAAGGATGACTTTATGTTTCGCAAATCCGGAGCAAAGGCTTTTTAAAACCATTGCGCCACGCGGGCAACGCTTCTGATAGTGGTGCAACGATTATTAAATTCTTTTAATGCCCTGTTCACACGGAGAGTTTATTTCAAATTAATTGTAAAATTACTGCAAATTAGCATCGCTTAGCGTTCACACGGAGAATTTAATGAGAATTAGTTTAATTCGAATAGGACACGTGTTGGTGGTTATATATAGGTATTTGTGCTATATTTAGTTCAAAAATTGAGGGAAAGTATGTTAATCTCTAAAATCAATGAATATCTGTAGCCACTATATGATGTATCAAAGGATGACTCTGCATACATGACGTGATTTACATATGACGTCATAATAGACTTACTGACGCCTGACTGAAGAAGAAAAAAATTAATTCGCATTAGTTTACTTCGCATGAGCTGTCGTGTGAACGCAATTTAATTCGCATTAATATGATTCGCATTACTTTACTTCGCATTAATTTACTGCGAATTAAACTCGTCGTGTGAACAGGGCATTAAAATTCGCTCATGAAGCGATTCCTGAATATCTATAACGCCATCATCATCAATTTCAAGTTCAGAACATATGTATATGACTGATTGTGCAGGCACTATAGCTGGTATCCTTTTTATTAGTTTCTGTTCCAAAGGATTTTCATTTTGAACACCAAAATAGTATCCATGTACTACTTTGCTTCCTTCCGGAAACGACATTCCCCACTTGTCGGTTACACATTTTCGCAAGACAACTGATTTTTTCGATGCTTTTAAGATGTAGTATGGATAATTTATATCATCTGCTTTCACAGAAAAAACTGTATCTGTAGAAATCAAATCGACAATATCTAAATCATCAGTCTCATCAGTTTCGCTTTCATCATTTTCATGGTCTGTTTGTTTTTTCATTGTTATTGTCGAAAACTGCCCAAGTTGATCATTGTTCAAACACTCACTGTAATCACCAACAACGCAGTTGTCGCAAGAATAACAAGATAATTTTCGAGTTACAAGTTTACCGTTTATTGATGAACAAATTTGATGAATTCTTCTATTGTCTTTGACTGGTTGGAAATACCTATCTCGGTCCCTGTCTACGGAGTTGATGTACCTAAATATCCGACGTGAACATTTAGATGTATCAGTTGTACGAGATAAATTACTTTGAGCAAACTCAAAGAAATCACGCGCACTTTGAATTACTTGAGACCCGCGAATAACGGATAAATCTGCTTGTTTTTTCACGTAACCCCCCGCAGCGTCTTGAGGCCCCCGTGCATGAGAGGTTTCAAAATAATTTCTGATTGCTTTTGAATATAAGTCAGAGCATGAATAGGCTATGTCTCCCATGCAATGGCGACTTTTATATTGGGCACTGCACCCGTCAGTGAATTCATGCATCACGGACACATCACATGATATAGATCGTAAATATTCCGAAAGTAATTTTTGGACATTATTTGTAGAGTGATGGCCATGCTTTTGGTCTGGACTTATAACAATGAAATGTTCAGTCACAATATTTGGATCGTTTTCTGAACTGTCTTTCCTGAAGGCCTCGGGCAACAGTTTCCCAGGTCTCCCCCACTACCTCGGGACAACATTTTGACTGTTTCACCGAGTAGTCATTGAATAAGTGTTTTATTACCTAACCTACTATATAATTAATTAAATTGGAATAAAAACACACAAACAATTCATAAAAAAAAGTTTTCACACCTGTTTATTCACATACTTGTCTATTAATTAGCTGAATACATAATATAAAGATTTAATTAATATATTTAATTTAAAGTAATACTTAATAAATTGATTGTTTGTGTGTTTTATTTAAATTTGATTAATTATATAGCAGGTAAATAGTGATGTCGTGATCATCAAAACGCTTGAATATCATGATGACGCTTTAATCAGTCAACAGTTCATTCTGTGGCCCGGTCAACAGTTCACTGTTTTATGATCACGCAAAAACATAAAGTAAACCGCGAAACAGTTCAAAATGCCTAATTATAATTTATATAGTAGGTTAGGTAATAAAACAGAATGTCGATGAACAATCGTTTTTGAAAATAGGACGACTGAATCTCGCACTTTTCTGTGCATCTATAATTTTCTGAAAAGTCGTGAATAGCCACACAGTGACCAAAGGGTAAATTATTTACCAAGGATTTCATTTGCTTTGACTGCCAATATGCACGGTACTGATGCGCAGGAAATGTTTCCATTATTTGTTTGAAGTATTGAAACATCTCGTCCGGTGATGTTAACTTTTTTACGAGAACTAGTTTTTTGATAATCTTTTCTCCTTTTACTTTCACATCTTTGTACTCATACCTTTCCCACGATACCTGAGTATCACTATGATCTAACTCCTCTGGTAGAAAAAATAATTTTTCAACGCCACATCCATCGCATTCGCGATTTAAACACGACATTTTATGCTGATGGGTATTAGCTGATTTGGGACATAAAGTATCATATACCAACTCGGACAATGATGTGTATACTTTAACTTGACTATTACATGTATCTTGTCCTGCCAACACTTTTTTGCGAAACTACATACAGTTTTTAAATAAAGAGCGCATTTCAACATGTTGACGGCAACAGCAAGTTAATTTATCTTTGAATCGCGCTGTGCGTACGAAGTAGGGTTTGCATTTTTCAAATGCCCTTTGTCCTATCTTAATATCAGGATATATTTGTTGGAAGTCTTGAAAAACTTCAGTCTGAGTCTTCTCTAATATATGGCACGGGTGTGACGAATATAGTCTCGGACCAAGTCGAACTCTCTTAATGTCGTTCTTATTATTCGTCGGCCTACTATTACTTTCCTGTAGCCAGAAGTTAAAGACAATTTTTTTGGTTTCCTCGGGTAAGGAATCAGATCTTGTTTTTCGAGCGGTATAATGTTCAGAGTGTAACACTTGTGCTCTTGTCCTTTGACCTTTAAGTATCGTTTTGGTTTTGACGCCTAGCTTGTCTGCTAGATTTTTAACAGCTCCTTTTTTTATTTGACAAATTTTGTCCATTTACAGCAGATGTCAGAATTTTCAAACTCGCGGTTGCATCTTTATTTCTTTTTTGTTTTACGGTAGAGATGATTTCTTTAACATTTTCCAGGGCAGATTTCTCTAAACTGTCGCTGAATGATGAGTGAAAGTTTTCAACCGCAGGTGACTTTGTCACTCTTTTTTTATCTATATAAGCGGAAAGTACAGCTGCACGTTTGCTCGAATTTTTTGGAAAAGCTTCCTTAAGTCTTTTTATTGTTCTAAAAATAGATAAGGTATATATTTGCAAACAGAAAACCACAATTAATGTCTAATAATTTAATTATGACCTCTTTTAGTAGGGCTAATATTAACAATTTTCAAAATAAATATATGTCATTAAAGTATAATATTTACACTTGTACATATCTGAGGTCGTGGATACTTGCGGGAAGGGGGCAAGCAGGGACCGAAGCCCCCCCCCCCCCCCCCCCCAGGTATTGATAATTCCTTTTGCACAAGTATATACATGTATCCTTATTCAAAATCTTTGCAAAAAACTTTATTTTTAAAATCGTTTTATTTTTTGAACTAAAAATTTGCGTAAAAAAAATTTTGTATGTTAAAAATGAACCCTATTTCCCTTCTGTATAACATTATCAATTGCAATTGATTTAAAATAGTTTTGAATTCATACCTAGCCTTTTCCATCCTGTTAGAAAAAAATAGTTCTTCGTCAATAGGAGCATCGTCTAGTCT